GCGGTACTCACGGCATCCGCCCAAAAATACTTAGGGATTTTTGCCTCATTGATCATAGTTCTAGCCATCTCTTCGAGACATCTATTTTTACGTTCCACCACTCCATTTTGTTGTGGTGTACGTGGGGCTGAGAAGTTATGATCAATGCCAAGTTCGTCACACAAATCTGAAAACAGATTTCGTTCGAACTCTCCCCCATGGTCGCTTCTTATGGCTACTATGGTTGTTTCTTTTTCATTTTGAACTTTCTTTAAGAAATTTTTGAAAACATGAAATGCCTCACTTTTATGAGTTAGAAACAAGGTCCATGTAAACCTAGAGTAGTCATCGACGATCACAAACGCAAAGTAATTGCCACCAAAACTTTTCGTTCTAGAAGGACCAAAGAGATCCATGTGCAAAAGTTGAAGCGGTCTAGACGTTGAAACAACGTTTTTAGACTTAAACGAAGCCCGAACTTGTTTCCCCTTTTGACATGCATCACATATGGTGTCTTTTTCAAACATAAGTTTTGGGATGCCAATCACTAAGTCTTGTGAAACCAATTTGTTCAAAAGGTTCATGTTCATATGAGCTACCCTTCGGTGCCATAGCCAAGTGTCTTCCTCTTTACTCATGAGGCACTTAGCAAAGCCGGAAGGAGATTTGTCTAAGTTAACCATATAAATGTTATCGGTTCTATCACCACGTAGAATGACTTTATTGTCACTAAGGCGTTCTACAGTGCATGATTTTGAATCGAAGGTCACACGGTTTCCCTTGTCACATAATTGACTTATGCTCAAGAGATTGTGTTTAAGACCTTTAACAAGCAAGACATTATCTATAGACGAGTCTTCGGACTTACCTACTGAGCCGACCCCAATTATTTTTCCTTTGCTATTGTCTCCAAAGACTACGTTTCCTCCTTTAGCGGGTTTGATTTGTAGGAACTTGGATGCATCTCCGGTCATGTTCTTGGAACATCCGCTATCAAGGTACCAAAGTACACTTGACGCCTTCAAGCATACCTCTTGAACGTTGTCGGTTTGATCTTCGTGCGCCATGAGGCAGAGGTTGGCGGCTTCCTCCTCTTCCTGATCCGTTGACTCATCCCCGGAGTCGCCTCCCCAAGAGATGTAGGCGCGTTGCTTTTTGAAGCCAGGTTTGTCCTTGCCGCCTTTGCTTTTTGGACACCTCGGCTTGATGTGGCCTATCTCACCACATCCATAGCACTTCGGGGGCCCGCCGTGCTTTCTTCCTTTTCTTTCAAATTCTTTCTTCATGAATTTGTGGAACTTCTTGATGACGAGTCCGAACTCGTTGTCATCATCGCTTGAGTCATCTTCCACGGACTCCTTGGTTGCTTTCAGCGCTATACCCTTCTTCTTTTGTTCATCCAAAGACGGGGTTAGGATAGTAGATTCATAAGTTTTGAGATTACCTCT